AGAATGAGTTCTGTCTCCTCTGCTGTTCTTGGATAATCTGTGTGACAGAGAGACGAGGGAGGCCTCTGGCCCTCAGCAGGTGCACCAGCACTTTCATCTGTCATCTCCCTTTGATGCTGAAAGGCAGAGAGAGAAAAAAACACTGAAGTAAAGCTGGTAATAACTTTAACAGGTGTTCTATCACGTGTATTTTAAAATCCTTTAGATCTTGTCACAGGATTATATTATTATAACCTAACATTTCCTTACATTATTAGTAACAATGGACAAAAACACTTGCGGAACTATAGTTTTATTTTCTGTAAAAACAAAGAATGAAGGCTGAGTGCTGAACGGCTCAAATGAAATTTGCGGAAATAGCTGAAACTGAGTTGTTAYAGCTGAAAGAAACAGAAMACCAGCTAAAACCTATAATAGACAAAAYAATAGATAAAAAGCTAAAAGATGTGAAACACTAGCTCAAAGCTAAAAGAAAAAAACACCAGCTCAAAGAAACTAAACACTATAGCTTAACAGTTAAAAGAAGCAAAAGGATAGYTCAAAGCTCAAATAAGCTTAACATTAGCTAAAGAGCTATACACTAACTAAAAAGCTTACAAGAAGCTTTAGCACWAGCTAAAAGCTAAAAAAAAACACTAGCTAAACAATCCAAATGCTAGAAGAAGCTAAAAAATTAGCCAAAAGGTGCTAAAGGCCAGCTAAATTCTTACTGCTGAAAAGGGCTAACTAAAAGCTGAAAGTAGCACAATTGCTGGTAAATCTAAAGGCAACAAAAAAAAAAGGAAAAAAAGACAAAAATGTGATCTAAGAAGATACTTGTAAATAAAGTTAAATGTTGTAAAAAGTAGAAAGGTCACAAAAATCAAAAGTCACAGCATCCATCTCCTGAATGAACTGCATGTTTAAGATATGAATGGCAATGATACATAAGCTCATATGCTGTTCTTTTTCTCTTTGTTGCATAACCTGAAATTCCAAATGTAAATGTTCTGACAGCTGCAATAACTCACCCTCTAAAAGCACCACAATGCAGAGAAAGACAATAATAAATGAAACAGCGCCATCTACTGGTTGTGCTGCTCATTTTCAACAACATAAGGATCAATGAGAAAGTCAATAACAGTGTTTAAAAATTTTAATCTATGAAATGCATTTAGATATCAAAACACAAATGTAAGTATTGTAGTGGAAAGATCTTGTGTGTAAACACCAAAATTTTGGAAGATTCARCAAACTTTAATGTTTATTTTTCCACTTTTTTTACCTCATGCATCCTCTGGTGAAAATGTTGGGAAAAACAAGACACATCTTCTGTCTTAAAACAGGAAATGCTTGCCTGATCATGTCATCAGCAAAGATTAAATGCAGATTTGCCATTGTCATAAATCTACAGCTGTCTATGGACTCACATTTTTATTTGTCACTTCAAAGCATTCTTCACTTCCTCGTCTTGGTTTACTGTGATGCCTGCCCTTTTAGAAAAAGAACGACCRTTTTATGTTATAGTTCAATACAATCTGCATATTTGACTCGTTTATATGTTCAACACAGAAATGCTTAACTTGTGGAAAATCTTTTATCTCTTTATATTTTATATTTATTTTAGAGACAGAGCATGACAGAACCTTAATTATGTGACTTTTGGCTCTGCACCGACCCTTCAGAATAAAATGGTGGGAAACAAAAACCTGATTTTTTTTTCCCGTCTCGCCACCATCATACAGCAGCTGGGGCCGGCCCAACTGGTGACACCACTTTCATCCCAGGATCCGGGCAGTCCAGCTGCGTGCTATCTCTCATCCTGACATTTGAGCAGAGAAGGGCACAGCAAAACATCAGTGCATCTGTGACACTATCCTTTACGCACATCTGTGTGGACATTCAGGACTTCACAGCTGTTAGCTGCACACTAAGGACCATGTCATTCCTCAGGATGTTCACATCTAGAATGTTCAGAGTTTTTCCAACATTAAAATACAAAAATAAAAAAGTCAGACTGTCAGAGTACTTTCTTTGTTGTTATTTGTAAGGCTTACAAAGTTTTTTTTCTTTCAAACTTGTCAAATTTATGTAAATAATTCATTGTTTTTTTTTTGGTTAAAATGAAAGATGTATTATTAAATGACTTTGGTAAAAATGAAATTCGAAGATAAGAAAGGTACTAAAGTAAAATTCATAAAACTGCTCACAATAATCTTGTAAGTAAAAGTAAAAATACTTTTACACACACTCTAAAACATAAAGTGTTGATGGTTCCACTAAATTGAATTGATTAAATCAAACATTTTGCACATTTTCTTTTAAAGAAAACATGAAAATTACATCTTTACTCWTCTCAGTTTAGTGGAACATTTGACATAACTTTGACATAACCTTTCACGTTTTTTAGAGTGGATAAACCACTTCTTTTATGATGAGTTCGATAAATTTATAATGTGTTAATAGTTGTTAAATTAAAAGTATAATTTTTATGTTTTGAATATAACAAAAAAGTAAAAGTTATGATAAAAATACTTGGTAAAATTACAAATCCTCAAAAAAATCACTTCAGTACAGTAACAAAGTAAATGTACTTGTGTAAGACCAATTCTAGATCGTTGCAACAATCAACAACAGAAAGGGTTATAACTCAGTCAGTTTTWMAAATATTGAGCWAAAACATGAAGAGCATCATTGTCAACAGTTCAACCAGATAATTTTTTTTAAATTAGCAAATAACTTTTACCCACACAAAAGCCCAGAGCTGTAAAAACCCTGGGTCAGAGTGCAGTTTGAAAGTGGGCTGGGAAAAGGAAAGGTATGTGTGTAAGCATCTGTTTTCTTCATTTATGCCTTTACTCCACTGTTTCTTCCTCTCCTAATTCAATTTGTGGGAACCCTGCTTCGTCACAGCCACCCYGGTGGGAAAGTATTTCTGCTGGGGTTACTTGGGCCTTTGTAGGGCTTAGTGACAGATTCAGGAGGATTACCTCCGGCAAAGGTGACCAGTGTGTAACCAACATGATCCGCATAGCTGCCACACAGCACGCTATTAATCACTAAACGTCACTGCGTGGCGTACTATGGTAATCACTTAGAGCATTTATCTTTGCACCTTCCTTTGAGAAAAGTAGAGTGAGGATTCTATAGGAATAACATTAAATATTAGTGATTAGAACTGCACTGTTTTATTTAGATGTGAAGGGTTTAGCTTTTGGGAAGCATAGTCCTAACAGTGGTACAAACATTTTAGTGCTATAACACATAAATCTTGTTCTACTTTTATGAAGAGATTACCGTAATTTAAGTGATTTCAATTTTTAAAATGTAGCAAGTCTGTGTCCGTGACCAAACGTCTGATTTACAGAGGCCGCTCAAAACAAACAGTTCTGTGTCCAAATCAAAACCTTTTGGCCTTCTGCCACTGTGCCATTCCTGCCAATCCTCACTATGGTGTTTTCACTGAACACAGGAAATTGCTGTCTCTGACTATCAGCTGTTGTGATGGTAGAATTCCACAAATTGTTTAAATGCTCATCATTCGACACCAGTACTTTTCGGATTATTGAATGCATAAGCCAGGGGTCTGCAACCTGCAGCTCTGGGGCCACGTGTGGCTCTTTGGTCCCTATGCAGTGGCTCTTTGAAAATGTGACCAAATATAAAAGAGTATTTTTTGTTTGTTTTTTTATACCCGCAACAGAAATCAATTTGTATGCAAATATGTGATCAATACTACGAATACAAAAAGTAAAACATTGTTGATTAGCTCATGCTAGCCTGTTTTGTACTTAAATAATCCAAATTATTTCTATGATATTTCTCTCAAATCCATCTGAATTACCTTTACTTAATTTGAAGACTACATTATAAGAAGAATTAGAAAAAAATGTCTGAATAGTTGTTCTAGTTTTTATGAAATTT